TGCAAACAGTTTTTTCGCACTTACCATTGTCTCGTTTACGAGTGAAAGCAGTGTTCTTTGCGTGACTGCTTGTCTGGTCTTTCTGCAATGGAGGAAAGTTGATGTCATACTCGGATGGTTGTGTAGTGGTCTTGGATGATGGTTGCGTAGTGTGATGCTTCTTTGGTGGGCTCGTCTTGGGTGGCTGTGTAGTATGATGCTTCTTTGGTGCGCTGGTTTCGGGTGGCTGCATAGTCTATGCTGGACTTGGATGATGGCTGGGCTGTGTGATGTTCCTTTATTGAGCTGGTCTGGAAGGATGGTGGCTGTGTGGTTCGGTGCTTCTTGGTTGTGCTGGACTGAAATGGTTGTAATGGAGGAAACTCGATGTCATACGCGGATGAGCTGGTTGACAACTGTGTTTTTTTTATGTTTCTTCAATGTGTCGAATTCAACCTCTTCAAAGACTTGATCTGTCAACCATGACATGAGGAGTGCTGTTACATTTATACATTCCTTGGATGGGTTTCTCAGCAACGACAAAAACACAGCACCCACATTTAGTCATATATCTTGTGCTTTAGAATCATTTTTCCCCAAACCTCAGTTTCAAGAACAACACCAGCTGAAACAAGAATTACTGTGGCCCAACATAGATTCTTGCAGGTTTGCAGTGGATATAAAGAGCTGAATTTTGTCCCACAGACGTGTAAGTGACTGGTGTGCTGCGATGGAATGTGCATAGCATAAACTTCCACATCTGTAGAGACACATCAACTCAAAAACTCAAAGAAGGTGTCAAAACAAGCCCTCAAGTTATCTGGAACACCCCAAGTGTCACAATTAATGACTACATAAATCCAGTGGTTTCCGTTTGTAATTGTTGTGCTGGTTATGGACTTTGCAATGTTCAAGGCGAAATGGACAAACTTAACACCTGGATGATAGCTCTGAATGAAAAGTGACCAGAACATATCAGGGTCCTTCATAACTTCTGTGAAGAYGAAGAAATGATGTCTGTATTTCTGTTAARTTTTGTAAAGAAAGGTTCAATTAAATTATCGCTCAACCAACGATCGCAGGAAAGGCGTTTGGC